CCTATGAGGAGATGCTACAGGACCTGAACCTGTTCAGCCTCCAGAAGAGAAGGCTGAGAGGGGATCTGGTGGCTGTCTGTAAACTGGCCAAGGGAGACCAGCAAGCAATGGGAGAGTCCCTATTCCCTCCAGCACTACTGGGAGTAACAAGGAACAACGGCCATAAGCTGACAGAGAGCAGATTCAGGCTGGATATCAGGAGGCGCTACTTCACAATCAGGGTGGCTAGGATCTGGAACGAACTTCCAAGAGAAGTGGTGCTCGCTCCTACTCTGGGGGTCTTTAAGAGGAGGCTAGATGTACACCTTGCCAGGGTCGTCTGACCCCAGCACTCTTTCCTGCCTGTGGGAGGGGGTCGGACTTGATGATCTGCTCAGGTCCTTTCTGACCCGACCAACTATGAAACTATGAAACCTCCCCCTTTTCTCCCTACTTCATCTCATCTGTACAGCATATAGCCCTCAATGCTTGCTGTTCGATCATGGGTAGGGTCCCACAAGGTTTCATTTAGCCCAACTAAAGCGAACTTCTTGTTTGCAAGCAGGACTGCAAGTTCCTCCTGATTATTCCCCATGTTCCTAGCATTAGTTTAGAGACATTTGAGCCCCCTGATGGGTGCCCTTGGTGCCCCCTGTCCTGATGCCCATTGGGCCTCTTGGTACTTACGTGGGCTGTTCCAGCACATGGCTCGTAGTTCGTTGATTGTAGGTTCTCACTGTATGCATCCCCGTTCCCCAACAAACCTAGTTTAAAGCCCTGCATAGGAGATCAGCCAACCTGTAAGAGAACAGACTCTTACCTTTTGAAGAGAGATGAAGGCCATCGTATTCCATATCAGGTTGCAGGGAGCCCTGCAGCTTCCCAGGACCCAGCACCCCAGCCCAGCTAACAAGTTTCTCTCCACTCGACACCCTGAAAAGGGGTGCAGCCCTGTGCAGGGCTGCAACAGGGAGTTGGCAGCCTCTAGACACATGAAGAGCTGTCAACCAAGTCCTGCCATGCAGCTTGATGGCTGCATGGCTGGGCTACGTTGTCACGTGTTCAATTTAAGGCATGATGGAAACCAGCCATAAACATATTCCACAAAGTGTGTAATGGCTTTGTGGCTGATTTTCCATTTTGTTGAGTCACTAATTGCCTGAATGTGTGGCAGGGTTACTGTTTATGGCATGATTAACAGGTTAACTGCATCTTAATTGCATAGGGCCTTAGCAATACAGTTGCGTGGTAACTTGAAAGTTGTTTAAAATTTTACATATTGTTATCATGTGGTAACTGTTAACTTTTGTTGCTGGTCTTCTCATGCCTCTGCACTTTCTTGATGTAGTGTTTTGGTCCTGACAAGTACATTAGTGTAGGTAGCAAAATATTACATATGCCATAGATCAACTTAAAAAAAATATGGAAGCTGCTTGTGTTAATTCTTAGAAGGTGATTCTAGGGTCCTTATCCCAGAATATCAACACTCGGGTTTCTTGTCGAAGTAAACACAAGCTATAATAAAAATAATTGGTCAGCTCTCCTGGTGTTTGTTTTTAGCAACATTTTCAAATACTAGACTTTAGTAATATTGCCAAATTTAATTAGAATGATGCACTTTTGCTGCAATCCTATTACTGACTGAGTTTCAATATGCTATCTAATGTTTGTGAAAAATGCTTGCAGTCAGATCAGCTTTTACCTCTACTACTGAACCTCATTGTCTTGTTTACAGGTGTTGTAAATATTTGTAACTCATCCTGTTTCCTGAACTAATAGGTTGCTA